TTTCCTTTCTTTTCCCCTTCACAGATCAATAACACGTTCCTATTATCGCAATTCTGTGGGTGGATTACTGGTGTTCGACATCACGAACCGACGATCTTTTGAACACGTGAAAGACTGGCTAGAAGAAGCAAGAATGCACGTGCAGCCTTTTCAGATTGTGTTCCTGCTAGTAGGACACAAATGTGACTTAGTGTCACAGCGTGAGGTGACGAGAGAAGAAGCTGAAAAACTGTCCTCTGACTGTGGTATGAAATACATAGAAACTTCAGCAAAAGATGCCACGAATGTTGAAGAGTCCTTTACGATTCTCACACGAGATATCTATGAACTTGTGAAAAATGGAGAAATCTCCATACAAGATGGATGGGAAGGTGTCAAGAGTGGCTTTGTTCCAAATGTTGTACATTCCTCAGAAGAAGCTGTAAAGCCCAGAAGACAGTGCAACTGCTGAATTTGTAGCATGCCAAAGAGCCCCTTGGGTGTTCAGAAGATGATGCCAACCTAAATGACAGCATAATAATTTTGAAACACTATTAGATCATGATGTAGCTGAATCATAGAACAGTAATTTGGTTTTGTATCCTTCTGTCTAGGTCATAACTTCATAAAAGTTTTAAGTGCTTTTTATCTTTGCAGAGTACCATAACTTTGTGTGGTCTTCAGGAAAAGAAATGTTACATTGCTAAAGAAAAAACTAATCCTATGGCAAGACACCGAGAAAGCGCAATAATCATTGTCGTGACATCATCCTTGCTTGGGCTTTGTATTTTGAATGCTGTTTAAAATCAAGGCTTGCTAGGTGAGGACCAGATGAGCTCGTTACTTTTCTTCATCCTGCCTTAGCTTTGAACAAGAAAATATTATACCTTATACTTTTTTAATGTGATTCTTTACTCAAGTGCAGGGTTGCTAATGACCATTAATGTTTAGAATGCTGTAGAATTTGATAATAAAGATAATTCTAAAGAAAGCAAGCTGAAAGATTGCTCCAATAGCAAACACTTTTGATATGAGTATGAATACAAGCCTTACTAAAGAAAAAGAATGTTTTAGAAAAGATGATTTATTTGTATACAAAAATGGTGAATAGAAACAATGGAATTTATTATTAAATATTTTCTGAATTGCCAATGAAATGAAACATAACATCACATATGATCCAGCTGTTATTTGACTTGTATACAAAAGAGGTTTCCCAACCACTGGAGTTACATTTCGGTGGTGAAATCCTCAGCTGGGTAATTATCATAGTCACACTGATGCCTAGGAATTATGTTAATTTACACAAACAAATTCCATGGTAGCTTTAAAAAAATACATCTACTTCTAAGTAGAAGCAAAAATAAGTTAAAAAGTGCTGCAACCCATGGGGACCCAGGCCTTAAATTTGAATAGAGCAAGGACTGTTTTATTCTTAGCCAGCAAATGTTAAACTGTTGCCTGAAAAAGGGAGGTTTTAAAATTAAAACTGTTGTGAATGGCGGAGAGGAAAGGTAAAGGAAAGAATTTCTAAAACAATGCTTGGTTACAGAGAGCGAAGTTAGAGAACCTCTGTTCTAAGAAAGCAACATAACAGCTTTCAATAACAACAATAATAGGAAAAATCTGTGATCATGTAGCATTTTGCTGAGCTTGAGGTCATCTTCCTACTCCTCCGAATATAACACACACTAGCTTTATGCAAACTATCCCCTATATGTCTAGCACTTAAATACCAAATAATTCTATTTCAATTTTATTGTAGTAGTATAAAAGATTACTTGATCTCCAGAGTTGATAAGCATCTACAATTTATCTGGGCATACTCATAACCACCAAACATCAAGCCAGTTATCTTCATATAATGGTGTGTTATCGTGTACAAATCTCCATTTTCAAGGCCAGGCAACAAGCCTATCTAATCTAATTTTCATCTTCAACAAACATATGATTGGTTTTCCCTCAAATTACTTTTAGGTTCTTATACAATCCTTTGATAAATGTTCTGTAGTATGGAGACAGGTTGTTAGGCTCCAGTTACTTTATACATTTAGGGCCACTAAAATTATTGACTACTAAAGGAACTGAAAGGTAAAATTTTTGAATAGCCTGAGTCTTACTTGCAGTGAGGCACAGTTACACTGTAACGGAATGATACAGAGGCCTTAATATAAACAGGGATCAACCTTAATTCATAAGCACTTAAAACAGTGAATTCTAGACCCAGCATGCCACAAAGTAATTGCTGCGAGCGTAAATTCTCTATTAAACTACATGTACTAGTAATTTACACCAAATCAGCTTTGATCTGAGGACTTTTTAGGCCCTCTCTACACGTAAAGTAAACATGACTACAGATGCCAAAAGGTACTGCAGAACCAGGCTGTGTGCATTTGGCACTGATTCTCTTATGATAGTAGTCCCATGTTGTATATCTCAGAAGATCTTCTCTTCATTGTTTAAGAGGACAGAATGGGCCAACAAATAAATCAGTGGCTGAGGTGTCAACAGACCCAAAGTCTACCACTGGTTCACTGAGTGTTTCCAAGCAAGGTGTGTATATTTGCTGTGCCTCACCTTTCATATCTCAAATACAGAGGTGATTGTTCTTCCTTACATTCACAAAGACTGCTGAGACCCAGTTGGACTGTATGATCTTTAGTCAGGACTCTATCCTCTGTGTGCTACCTGTTGTGGAGTGTTTAGCACCATGGGATGTGGGTATTGGTTTCTTCTGACATACCCAAATAAAAACAAAAAACCCTACAAATACTAAAACAGCTTTATAAGTGCCAGGTGTTGCTATTACTATGAATCTATATTTCATTACACATTTCATTACTTTTGGATTAAAATCTTTTATCTTAAATTTTTCTTCCTGAATACTCTGGAACCAATGAGCTTTTCATTCTGTATGAAAAAATTGGGTGTTGTTGGGGGGGAAAGGGCTGGGAGAAGAGGGGAGTGGAGGGGAAATATGCACAGAGAAATAAACAATCATCAGAACAGAGCCTTAATGATCTCTGTTGTCAATGTTGTACCTGTGGTGTCACATTTATTGCACTGGGAATAGAGCTTTTAACCAGATCCAACTGTGTAAAGAACTGGTATTGTGAATGCAACTAGAAGAGAAGTTCACTGCATTTTAAAGTACTGTGCACATAGTTGTCTTGTTTGTAATTCCTAAAAATGTAGATTAACATGTACATTCAAATATTGTCTGTCTTTATGATATATTAAACCACTACTGTACCTTCTCACTACACACTTGCAGTTAATAGACATGTCTGATAAAACAACAATTTGCTGAAATACATCATCTTGTTTTCAGATGTTTTGCAGTATGGTATATAAGTGACAGCAAGAATAAGCTGTAGAATGGGTTATAGTTCAGTGCGTGTATATTCTTTTTCCTCCCAAGAAAGGGTTAATATTGATATCAGAATGAAATTTCCAGAAATCACAGAAATTAGGTAAATCTTACCTGGTAGCCAAATTTAAAAGTAGAAAATATTTAATAAGAAAACACCACAACTTTTCAAATTAAAGTTTGGTCAATCCCAGCTAGGAAATGGAAGAAAAAATGGTGAAAAACCTTGATAAAGGTTTTATTTGGATTCATAAGCCTGGCAAATGAAGTATTGTTCTGCGCTCCTAAAATGTTAAACTTTCATTCCTTTTATTGCAAGCTTGATAAAGAAGAATAAATATCTTCCTCTGCTCATTTAAATATTTTACACATGAATTCTTCAGATATTTTGGCCTGTTTATAGTTGTATCTGTCCCATGTAAGAAGCAGGAACTAGCCTCATGCCTTAGGAATCAACTAAGGAAAACATTCTGAGGTAGCAAATGTTCATACTGCTCATTTATGCCTTTGGTATGGAAAAGGCTTACTGATCTGACTTCAAACTGATGACTGCCCTGTGCCCACAGAAAATAGTACAGGCTTGACTGAACAGCCAGGTGCACTGCACTGCTCTGTGCTGAGATCCCTTCTGCCTCAGCCAAACTGCTACTGATACCCAAGCTGCTTAACTTCAAGCAAAGGTGGGTGGATGCACCGTGATCACAGATATTTCAGTCTCAGCATTTCAGCTCCCTTATAGAATACATGACTCATTGCCCTTTTTTTTACATAATTAACACCCAGGGAGAGCACATTTTCCCCTGCTGTAGACCCCAGCACATGACATCAGCTGCTCCAAGTCTCCACCTTTACTTTTCACCCAGTGGTGGCACAGCAATCTCAGCAGCCTTTATTCAGCCTTGGAGAGAAAGAAGTAGGGCTGAGGGCTTGTTCTCTACATGGTTATGGAACCATACCACAAACACTGTTTTAGAAATCATTAAGTATCAAAACACAATTCTCAATAGCAAACATTTGCATTGCTCATTTCTCAGAGTCCATAAGACAATCTTTCAAATGAGTGGATGAAATTAAAATACTAAAAGAGGAATCTGTAAAATATAAACTTCCCTAAAAAGATAAATGGATGGGACTGCACAACAAAATAAACAGATACAAACCAAAAAAAATCCAAGCATCTGTGTAATGATCCTTTGCTCTAGTACTTAACTGTATGTGGTAGCACCTGCGTTGCTTACGTTCCTTAAGGATAATAACGGTATCCTTGAATGTATTTAAAACTAAAAGACTTAAAAATTTATGTGCCTGATCCTCTGAGAAAAAATACTACTCTCTTATGAAGGCACATACACTTACTTCCCAGCTCATTTCTAGGAGTAATTCATTGTCTGGGCCTAGTGCTATGATCTGCAAGGCTCTCCTCTGAAAACTGACTGTCATTTTATTCACCAACATTTCCCCTTCTGTGGAAAAGCTGAATATTACTTTTGAGTGTGGCAGAATTGTTTATCATCTTCCAAACAATGTGCAAATCTAATGACAGTAATGCAACCAAAGATGTGCCTGCTGAGCATACTATGAAGATTATGAAGTTGTACAGGTTCCTGAAGACAATTTACATAATACTTAATCAGCGAGAGTGGGAAGAAAACTAAGTTGGTTCTGCAAATCTAGAAGCATTTTGCTAAGCAGGACTTTTAATGTGGAAGAGCCAGCTCTATAGGCACAGGACTCTACAGAGCAATCACTTTAATTCATGGAGTTGCTGCTCCCACAGGCCAGTGGAACAGCAAACACATGGCTAAACTGCACCCAGAAACAGAGCTTAATGGCACAAATCCCCCAGAATATAATATACACACTGTGGGCATCTTGCCCCTGGAGAGCTAGGGAACAGTTGTTTGGCTGTTGTTGGCACACACCACCACAGCATTTGCATGGCATCTTCTCCCACATTAGATCACCCACAGGGACCAGACAGGAATGGGGAATCTTTATGGAAAGGTAGGTAAATCTTCATTTAATTTCAAGCTGAGGTATTCAAAATCCCAATCCCAAACTGCTAGAGTGGATCACTGTCTTTGAAAGTATTTAATTAATTTCTCTCTTGGGGAAAGCCATGTTTTAGGCTGGCACTGAGCTATGTGAGAATGGGTGCTCAGTGTGTAACCTGCTGAGACACTACATGGCAGCAGTGCTGTAAGCCAGCTGACAGCAACCTCCTGCAGCCTTACAGGGCAGCTCAAACTAAGAATAACCCTGATCACAGGCTGCTAAAGGCTCACCTTACTGCTGAAGAGCTTCTACAGAAAGGTAAGTGCAGAAGTAACCAAAAGAAATTCCATGCATTGTAAATAAAATCAATGCCTAGCTGACATTTCAGCTGTAGTTCAATTACTGCCATTCCTCATTGCTGTGGCTTCAAATCTGTGCAATCTGTGCAAACTCATTTTTCCTACCCCATGAAAATTGTGGAGGGATGAACTGAGCCTCCTGTAGCAATAAACTCAGTCACCAGGGAAAAGACTGCTCAAGATAAGAATGGAGGGAGGACACAGATCATTTCATCCATCCCTGCACAGCCCTAGAGGAGCAGTAAGACTGATCACTTCCAGAGCCCTTAAG